AAAATAAATACAGAACGCTTACTACAAGCAGGCGATGTTTTCTGGGAAGTAGCTTTCACTTAGCCTAATATTTACAGTATACACATAAATGTATTTAATGATGTTGTTTAGCTTGACATCCAGGATATATCTGAACTGTAAATCTACAGACTGCAGTGACAGGCCTGCTTCAAATGCCCTGCAAATACCATGCTTTCTGTTTATCTCAGAAACCAAAAGACAGCAGTCCCAATAATGGAGACCAGCCATCCTGTTCCTTGTGTAGCCCAGACAAGGGAGGTGCAGGAAATCCTTGTGTATATATTTGTTTCCTTAAGCGCTGAAATCAGAATAACATATAGAGACCAATGAAAATACCTGGTGTCACAGAAATAATTCCACCCTGTTTTGGCAATAATAACAATTCATATTTTTTAAATATTTGATAATCAAGAATGGTGAAGAATCAGGTTGTATTCTAGAAGACAAAATGGGTAACTCCAAGGCTTGCTTTTAGTAAAAATGTATCCTGACTTCATAAAATCTTATTTAACCTTGGGGCAGTAACTAATCATTCCTTTTTTTGTTGTTGAGAAAACAGTAAGAAACTCTTTCCAATATTCTCTTTAAATGATGAGCTAGTCTTTTAGAGACCTGCTTTTGAGCAGTTTGTGAACTCCTGATGCTTGAATTAAAGTTTTCTTATCTTCTTGTAAAGATAGTAGACATGTCTTGCATTCTCCCAAAGCAGGATCAATGTATATTTACAAAATATGGGATTTTGGAGAAAGCAGTTAAGCAGGGTAGAAATTCTAATCCATTTTTAACTTCAAAATAAAGCATCCAAAATCTCCCGAGACTAGAATTATCTGATAACATTTTGCTCGCAGTTAGTCCTAAAGCTATCATGATACATTGGGAATGATGTTCGTTGTAGCTAAACTTCAGTCTTAATCAAAGATCAGGTTCACCGCATGCTCTACTTTTACTTTACCTCAGAGACTGAGACCAAGTCCTTGTGTTTCCTTCCCACAATTCATTCTTTCAAATGAATGCAGAATAATAGCTTAACCTAGATAGCAGGGTGTTAAAGCAGTGTTGGGCAGCAATGCAAGAAACACTTTTCACTTACAGCTCTGGCTCTTTAACATTCTTCCTGTCATGCAGTGAACTTCCACTGACTAACACTGTGTTCTCAAAGGAAAAAGCTTGTTCTCCCTTTCTGCAGAACAAGTATAATTTTAAAGGGCCAAGTTTTATAATTGCTCTTGCCTTTGGAAGTCAGAATATTTGCAAGCTGTGGCTTGCAGAAGTGACCAGTGTGAGTAGTCTGACCAGGGATTTTTGAATGGGAACAAAGTACTGTCAAGAAATGATGCAATTCACAGCTCATAGATGGATAAAACCAGAGCTGGTGTGTACCTGGGCTTAATGGAGAAAGATTAGGATAAATGCCACTATTACTTTTAATGCTGGTTTAAAACAGATATCAAAGTTATTTATTTTTTACGGTTGTAGGTCAAGACTGAGTCTCCTAGGGTACATACAGGTGTTAGGGGGAGGTTAGATTATATTAAAAATGGCCACCTGCTCCAACTTAGTTCACCCAGGTGTAGATCGTACACTTAGATCCCAAGTTAGCTGGATCAAAGTGTGAACTGTGCAGAAGTTCAGGACAGAGCTTGATCTAAAAAGGGCTGACCCAATACAAGTTAACCCGACCTCAGAGGCAGCCTGACTTTGATCAGGTCTGGTGAGAATGATCTACCTGAACTTCCCAGTACAGCCCCAGGGCTAGGAAAGCCCAGCCTCTGGCCCCAGCCCCAGGGCTGCACTTTCCCTACCCACCCCCCTGGCACCAGGCTATTTTTAGCCCCCAGATAGACAACCCCGCTACGGAGCAGCCAACCCCCCTGAGCTTGCCAAACCCCCATCCCACAAACTGCTTCCAGTACTGGTTTTACTGCTGTTCGCTGGTCCTGGAAGCCAAGGAAGTAAGTTGGGGTGGTAGGAGGGGTGGGAAGGATGAGGGGTTGGTTTGTCTGGGGAGTGTAGTTCATCTGATGATTGGGGGGAGGGGGAATTGAGGGGCTAAAAATAGCCCCTGGTCTGAAGGGGTGGGGGAGAGAGCCCCCCACACTGCTAAACTCCCCCTGCAGATTGTGAGAGTCCCCTCATCCCACCAAACCTTCCTGGAGCCCACCAACCTCCCTGTAGACCCTGCTTGCCCTCCTGATCCCTCTGAGCCCCCTGCCACCCCCTGCTCCCTGCACAGACCCTGCTAGCCTCCTCAATCCCTCCCACAGAATCTACTTGCACCCCTGATCCCTCCAATCTCCCCTATGGACCCTGCTTGTCCTCCCATCCACCCACGAGCCCCCCAGCCTGACTTGCCTTAGATCAGGTGGCCATTTTTAGGGGGAAGTTGGATGGAGTTAACCTTCCTGAATGTACATACCCCTAGAGTCAATAGCATTACACTGAACAAGAGAAGAAACTCCACACAAGGGAGTTAGTAGTTATTCTTAATTTGTGTTGGTGATGAGACCTCAGAATCTGGCCTGTTACTCAATCAGTTCATATTATAGAAAGTCAGTTGCCATGTGTTTATTTTTACCAAATGCAAAACCAGTGTCTGTATGTGCTTGTTTTTTATCTTCAACTTTTCTAAGCTAGTAAATTTGAAAGTAGAGCAATATATTTAAAAAAAAATCAAAAGAAAGTAATTCATGTTATGGTTAACAGGCCTCAAAGTTTAGTTTAGCCTTCAAATATGATGTCCAGAGTATAATTATGAAGACCTAAAGTTATTTACTCATTCCATAGGTTGGTAATCTTATCTGTGGAGGTTAGAAGAGTAAAGGTATGGTATCACCTTCCTTGGTTATCTGAACCTTTAGTAGATTGCTTATATTAAGGGGTATTGCCAAGATAAGAAAATTCCATCCTGGCATTGCATTTTTAACAAACCAGAAAGATCTCATCACTAACCAATAGGAGAGGAATGGTAGGGCTCACGTAACAGAAACAGTCACACATCTCAATGTATATTGTCTGCAGATTGAAAAATACTTCTCTTATTGAACTGCAAGTAAGCCTGGAAACCAGAACGAAGTCACCATTTTAAGAGCCTTTGGGTAGATTGTATTGTGGGATATGTTAGAAGCATGTCATCATTCATTGGTTTCAGGTGGTGCTTGTTAATGGTGACCTTCTCCTCTGTTCTGAGAGGCAGTACAAAATTTATGCATTAAGTACAGTTTAGGCTTAACATTCAGAGGCCTTGTTCTGTGTTTGTATTGGAAATGAGCTACCTTTGAGGTCCAATCCCATGACATACTGAATGCATACATATCCTACTGCCAGCATATGCAATTCAGAAGTGCTCAGCATCAGATCAAATTGGGCCTTGACTTTTTAGGAAGATAGGATCTGGAAAAGGTATTAAAAGCTTTGTATTGTTATGGCTGCATTTTTTGCCTTTTTGGCTCATCAGAGACCAGAGGTGTTGAAGTCTATCTGTCATGGATATTGCCACTCAGCTTTAGAACAGGCCAGAATCGTGACAAACCTAGTGCTTTAGTTGCTCAGTAAATAACATGCAAGTCCAGTAGTCTTCCTTTTTCTAGTTATTGAATTCATAAAGAGTATAAAGTATTCAAGGCACGACTCTAGTTTTAAGAAAACAGTTGCACAAGAACATCCACTTAAATGAATTACAGGCTTTACTGTGACAGCATGTGAATCGTTCATTAATATCAAACAAGAAAGAAACACAACTGAGAAGAAACATAGAATGCAGTGTTGCCTTTGCTTTATATCCTACTGCTTTCATGTTAGGATGTTGGAATATTGTTTTGTCAGTTTCCTTTAAAGGTTAAATAAAGAAGTAAAAATTCCTTTAAACATGAAGACAATTTCTGAGGATGTAAATCATTATACGAGTGATATATAATAATTATATCTCTCTTACATACTGTAATAATGGTCATGTATGTATGTGTGTGTATATATGTATATAATTGTGTGTGTGCGTGTGTGTCTGCCTGACTTATATAATGTAAATCACTCATACAATGATTTACATCCTCAGAGCATTTTCCAACCATGACTAATCTAGCATTTTCAAAAAGGAGGGGAGCATGTTTTACTGCAGAGGTGGGTTTAAAGGATTAGCCGGAGGGTGGTGAAGTGCAGAAAATGTATAATTGAAGATGTGTAAGTTTCCAGTGATACACGGTGGAGATGATGGAGGATATGATTAACTTTGTTTACCAGAAAGTTGCTCAGTTTTCAGAAGCCTGAATACTGAACTGGTTTATCCTCCCAACTGCCTTGCAAAGCAGACAGGTGCTTTTATCACCATTTTAGAAGTAAAGAACATGAGGTACAGAGATGAAGAGACTTATGCAGAGCCCCACTGGAAGCCAGTGGCAGGGCCAGGATTAGGATATAGTAAATTCTGAGCAGCTACTTGGTCCACTGGAGTGTGGGCTGGGAGATAGATGATTCTTATTTGCAATGTTCTTAATTATCCTGCAGAAGAAAAGCATGAAGTTAGAGAATCTTCCTATCCACTTAAAATGAGTGGGAATGAAAGTTCAGCTCCAGATACAAACATGCATTGCACGTACTTGAGACGGTGAATGAGCTAATGGTATCAAAGTAAAGACAGGACTGGCCTTTAGACCTGTATTTGTTATTCTTTTCCATAATACAACTGTGTATAGTCAAGGTGTCTGTTTCGTTCAGCCATGATATGTAGATCCATACATGCATCTGCATCAAACTTTTAGAGATGTTTGGGGTCTGAGCTTCTGTATAAAATCTTACAGAACTCGATTTGACTGATTGACGTAGGGTGGGAGTTTGGCTCAACCGTCCATTTTTGTCTTTTCTGTGGCCCTTGATGCCAGTGATCTGCTTTCCTATTTACAGGATGTGATCATAGCAGCTCCATTAAGTTTGATTTTGTCCAAAATAGCAGCAACAACAACAGTTCCCTCTCTCTTTTTCTCTAGGTACAAGATACTGCTTCACACAACACAAGCTGGAAGACAGTGGAAAGAGCATATCTGTCACCAAGCGATGTGTGCCATTAGAAGACTGTTTGTCTACAGGCTGTGTAGATTTAAAATACGAAGGACAGAAGGTTAGCAACAAAAATGATCATTTTTGGTATAAGCTACACAGAACTCCTTAGCTTTTAGCACGAAATCTGACTTGCACAGCAGGTGAAAGAGTATTACCAACATTGTAATATCTCTGCTTTTGATCAGCTCCTATGTTTTATGTAAGTGGTTATATTTCACAGAATGAAGGAACTATCCCGTTAACCAGGAGAGAAAGGGGATTAGGGCCAAACCCTGCTCATTACGAACTGGGAGCTGCACCACTGATTTTTCTGGTACAAGAATTTGGCCCATCTTAAATGAGAACATATAACTTCTGTAAGTCAAGAAGAAGAAATGTACAAAAGCGCACTCACGAATAAGAGGAAATCCTGATGTCCTTACTCAGACTTTCTTCTGCAAAAAAGCAAAGGAAATGTTTTTGGCTGAGCAAAGGCTAGAGAATAGCTGGAGTAGTGTTAGAGTTACAAAGTGTATAAACAAAGAATGAAAGAGGCAATAGAATATGAAAGGAAAAAGGTAACATGCTCCCTCCATCTTCCCTGAGGAATTAAAATGACAGATCTTCAAGATGAAAGCAAGAGAGATGGCTAGACATTTTTGATGGTATGTTAAAGACCCAGCTAATGCCTCAGGGAAGAAAACTGTTCTACTCTACTTGAAAACAGTTTTACTTAGTTACACTATTATTTTTCTCATCCAGTTCTTTTTAGTGAATAATAACATTGTCTTGTGACGTGTTTTTTCCACCCCAATCTCATAGGGTGCCTATACATGTGCTCCAACACATGCTAATTAGAATACATCAGAGCAGACTCAATTAACCCTTGCCTAGGCTCTGGGGGCCTCTTGGGGCTGCAGCGATCCTGCCTTGGAGCCTGGCTGGCAGCAGAGTGTATGGCTCCAGCTGGCCAGGCTCCAGCTTTGGGTAGTGCATGCAGTGCTCTACGTTTTTTTCCTGTGGGCTTTTCTGACCCCTGAATATCCATGAGATAAAAAAAACCCCTCTGTGTTGCTCCCTTGCAGTGTGGAGAGCAACTCAACATGCGGTATGTGGCACTACAGATGTGTCTGCAGCGCCACACATCACACGGCTGCACTCATCTGGACACTGCCACACCATAGTATTTGACGACAAAAGAAGCGGTGATTCAGCTCTAAACCAATGACTACTTCTCAATCCATTGATTAGCCTCAGCCCCTTTCTTTCATTAGTCTCTCTCAGTATAACCTCTGCAGGAATCAGGCTAGTGACCCTGTTAATTGGTAACCAGGAAACCTTTTCTTTCTCCCTGAAATATTGAAGAATGGGAAAATATGGGAATGTTAATCTTGATTGGATGAGATGTTTCACAACTCTTAATTACATTGGCATTTTTCCAGTAGTTCAGAGAAGCAATTTTATGAGACCCATAATTTTATGAGGCATTCTATTTTACCTGGGTCCCTTTAAGGGGAGAACTAACTTCCTATGACCTTGAAAAGGGTTCATCTTACCTCTGCATAGTGCCTGGCCAGCTATATCGGCTGTTGCAGGGATTGAACTGTTGACTGCCCCATATGTTTGCTGCATGTGGTTTCTGCTGTGTAACTCCTGTTCTGCCCCAGGACTCAGGTCCAAGTTCCTAGGTAGTTCCAGGTGGCCCTGTGTAACATACAGCCAAAGATACTTGTTTAAAAATGAAAGTTTTGGCTCTTCCAGACCACAGCCTAGGACACCCATCTGTTCTAGAAATTTCTCATAAGTGTGTGAGATGTGGCACTCTCTATTAATCTTGTAGTATTCTTGACACTTTATCAACTTTGACTTCATAATTACCCTAGACAAATCATGTCTCCAGCACTCTCCAGAACAAGGCAGTGACTGAAACTATACTGTCTTCAGTATTTACATTACTGTTGTTCCTAGACATCTCAACTGAGATTGGGACACAATTGGCCAGACACTGAAGAAGTGTAGACAGTTCCTTAGAATTCATGTTCTGTATAGGTTGATTTGACAAAAGGACTTGGGTGGGGGGGCGGGAGGGAGGGGCAGGGAAGGGGTAGATGA